GGCTCACATTGTGAAACAGAACTGGATTTTAAGACCCCTCACCCCATGGAGTCATCATCTGTGAGAGTTGAGAAGTGATCATTTCTATTAAGAATCTGATCTTTAAAATCCCCTCAGATAAACCTGGTAACTTGTCGTCTTGGAAATTGCTGAACTAGATTGCCTCAAAGTTTCCTTCAAATGTTGGGATTTACTGTTTCTTAGAGCATTGCAGAATACCTTTTTTATATAAATGAATGAAAATTATTTATAATCTATACTGAATTTTGTACATGTTTTATATACATTTGCATATCTGTCTCACATTTGTATACTTAGAAAAACTTGTATGCACATTTGCTTAATTTGTACATATTTTATCCAAATGCACATAGGTAGCCTAGCCCTACTGTACCTATAGACTTGCTGATTTCCTAAATAGGTTAAAACTCTTCTTTCAGCCTGGTGAACAAAAACTTTTTTTCATGTGTCATGGAAAGGATAAACTTTATCTGGCCTGTTTCCCAATTATGCAAGTTCCAGACCACTGAAATAAAAATAAATGAGACTTTACCATACTTAGAACACCAGTATGAAGACAAATTTGTTTACAGCCCCAAGTTTTAGGTCATCCTTCAATCATTCATCCCAGGAACCAGAGTAGGTATGCATGTTAGCACAGGCACGCACACCCGAATGTGACACATGGTAAATGTTGGGCAACTACTGAGCTGGAACAAAGGAGACCTTCAAATTCCATTGCCTTTTTAACTCATAAGATTAAAAAGGTTTGAGGGATGTAAGACTCCAAGAACTCCAAGCCATCCCAATAGTATTGTTAATCCTGATACACTCAGCTTTTGTTTAATTTTCTCATTTTTAAACACATTACTTTGTTCTACTGGAGTTAAGCAGAGGAATGAATGGAGTAATTGTTAAAGAATAAAAGCTGTGAAGTGAACATATTAATTTTGGCTAAATTGGTTTCCTATGTAAAGAGTATCTGAAAAAACAACATACCACTGTATCAATAAAGGCACTCTAATTATTGCAAAGAGACTACATGTTTAGATGTTACCTAATCTAAAGTGAAACCTGTAAAGTGTTGCTGGAATTATTTGGACAAGAATAATTGAAACCTCCTTCAGAACAGTTAGTTCAGATTGTCTTGATTTTATTTTTCCAATTCATATTTTTCTTTTATTCCTGGAGTTTACAACTTGAGGTTCACATACATCAAATAAATAGCATGATAATCAAGGACTCAATACCCAATACACATTCATTTCTATCTGTCATTAATGTCATTGTTGCTATTATAATTGCACATTGTGAAAAGAATGAAAGCTTTTCCATAGAATTATTCACATGTATTACTTTGTAGGAATAATTGAATAGTTGACACTGCATTTTTATCATAGTAAAATATGGGATGGGTTTTCTCATTTATTCTTAAGCAATAAAAAATGTGGAGTAATCTCTCTTAGATCCCTTTATTTGATTCCCGAAAGTTTCCTCATTTTATATAGTTCACAAGTATGTGCTTTCTTTCTCACCTCTTTTTTTTTTCTTTTTTCTTTTTTTGGTCTGTCATGGGGCTTGAACACTGGGCCTGGGTGCTGTCCCTCAGCTCTTCAGCTCAAGGCGAGCACTCTACTGCTTAAGCCACAGCACCACTTCTGGTTTTTGAGTGGTTTATTGGAGATAAGAGTCTTATGGACATTCCTGCTGGGGCTGGCTTTGAACCGAGATCCTCAGACATCAGTCTCCTGAGTAGGTAGGATTACCAGCGTGAGCCACCAGCGCCCGGCTTTTCTCACCTTTTTATAAAATGCAGAGTTAGACAATTGGCAGTTCCGACAGTCAAAACCCTCTAAAATTTGGTGAGAAGCCCACTCAAATGTATTTAGCTAGTTTATGTGTTATTTCTCTGTGTCATGCAATTTGTCAAGAGCTTCATCCCAGTTTTGTCTTCTACGTGGTTGACCACAAAATAGAAATTTAAACCTTATTTAGAATTAAATAATATTGATGCTGGACTAGAAAATTGAATAGCACAAGCCTTAGTGACAAAATACTCCAAATACAGTGCCATAAATTTGAATGAATAATGACATAAATATAACAATGGAAAAGATTTGAAATGTGTCTTCACTGACTAAGAGGGTCACACATAATATATTCACAGCACTGTTCCTCAGTAGAAAACACATTCTAGTGAGAGTGGGTGTGTTTTCCTATTCCTCCATGTAATTTTCTTCTATGGAGCCTGTAGATGGCTTAGAAATTTGACTTAGTTATGTGAAGTCTTTCAGTGCTGCTGGCTAGCTAGCCCTGAATCATGTCATTGTTGGCACGGATGGAGGCTGAAACCATTTGCCAACTGTTCAGTGGTTTATGTATTGAAAATCTCAGTCCAGTTCTTAGAGGACAGATGGAAATGGTTGGCTCTTTGGACAGAGAGCACAATGACTCTAGATCCTTTACTTACCCACAGAGATGGCCTATCTAAGTCAGAGTGGAAAATAGCCATTGAGATTGATCCTGGGAAGTTGGTTTTATCAGCGAATGAAATGAAATGGCTTTACAAATATATCTGAGCCATCCATTTATCTCCTTTTGTAATTCATGAAACACATTTTTAAGCAGTGTATGTATTCATTAAAACAGAGACTTATTATTGCTATGTTGCTTTTCTCACAAGCACAATTTCAGTAAGTCCTCCACTCTATATTTATCCCCATCAATATTGGTCTACCTTCTCCTATCTGCAATCTGGCAGTACAGATGTATACAATGCAAGGATCACCACAGGATCATGTCTTTCATTTTGAATAGCTCTGTCTACAAGTGTTAAATTATGGACATCTAAAAGAACAATCTACTTTCATCTTGACTTTTTTTTGTACAAATACAGTATTTGGTTATTTGTGCAAAAAGCACGTGAAAAAATAACCCTATATATTAGCTCTGTGACTACATATTTACAAAATTATATGGCCCATGAATTGTATGTATACTGTATGTAAATAAAAAAGGAGTGCTAGCCGGGTACCAGTGGTTCACGCCTATAATCCTAGTTACTGAGGAGGCTGAGATCTGAGGACTACGGTTCAAAGCCAACCTGGGCAGGAAAGTCTGTGAGATTCTTATCTCCAATTAACCACCACAAAACTAGAAATGGCACCATGGCTCAAGTGGTAGAGCGCTCACCTTGAGCTGAAGAACTCTGTGACAGCACCGAACCAAATAAAAAAAAAGAAAGAAAGAAAGAAAGAAAAAGAAAAAAAGTGCATTGGTTTTCCTCAACCTGTCTCAGAAAACCAATTATTGAAATCCTCAATGTACAGAGATTTTTGCTATATTTTGTTTTTGCTTGCCAATGAGTAGTCACTAAGACATATGGGTCAAGAATTCATTAAATGTATATTGTTGGGGTTTTCCTTTTTTCCATTCAACTATATATCCTCAGGATGGCCAAATTAATGTTGCCAGCTGCTATTTCCTTAGTCACTCCCCTATAAGTACAGCTCCCTCTATTGATACATCTGTAACCTGGTTTCAGAAGGTATTTTTCCTCCTGAGACATACACAATGCATTCAACAACACCAGCATTTCATTAAAAGCATTCTCCCATTCCCTTCCTTCATATGGAAGTGTCATTAGCTGTATGAAGTTAACTCTCTGAATGTTAAGTTCTTAATCAACAAACAACGCTTCTCCATGGAGCCTGTTTTGCCAAGCATCCTTGAATCAAAACAGGCTGAATATGTAGTAGATTCAGAGCTCCACTATGGGTTGTGATCATATTTAAGAGAAACCCTTTCGTATTTATTGACTTTTTCCCCCCTTCAATTACGGTTGTTCCGTTTCTTCTGCCACCACCTTGAGCCTTTCAGGTAAATGAAAAGTTCAATTATATGTAAAGTGACTGTTAAATCAGCAGGCCCCTTGTGGGGGTCTGGGCCTCCTCTCCCTGCTTCAGTGGCAAGTGCGCTCAATCCATTACTGTTCCTGAGGATTGTACATCCATCAGGTCGCATGTGCTGGCCAGGGTGCATCTTATAGCTTTTTACTGCATATGAGACATTGCGGGCCTGTTCTCAGGAACTGCCAGGCAGACTGGGAATCACAGTCACGGTTAATAGCAGCGAATTGCCAGCTCTTGATGGGTGGGTAGTCACTCCTTTCAGTGGTTGCCCCCTGGGGGAGAAGGTAGAAAAACAGAGGGAGGGAATTAGAGTGACTTTGCACAGTTGAGCAGGTTCATGCCGCTGGATCAGTGGCAAGCATTGGCAGGGCTCCACTCTGGGGAGGCTCACAACAACATCACAGTCTCATTTTTACCAATTGGTGCTGCTGTATCGCCAGTGGTGCACAGGGGGAGAGCAGAGGGGAGGGTGAGCCGGAGTGGTTGAGGGGGGCGGGGTGGATGGATAGAGGCAGAAGTCAAAGCTCAATTCCACAAACCAAAAATTCATGTTCAAATTGGTTAACCCACCTCAGTTAGCCCCATGCTACTAATTGTACCAAACTGGTCTTTGAAGTTCCCTGGGTGATTAAAGAGTTGGTTCACAAACTCTGCCTAACCTTAATTTTTTCAAGGTTCTTTGAGTGGCGAATGGCTTATAATAATGATTTTGACTAATACGATTTTTGACATGCAACTTTAATGCTTAACCTTAGTACAACTCCAGAGCATTTCATGTGTATTCAGCTGTAAAGAGTGATGATTTAAAGGGATAATATAAGAAAAAGGTCGTTCTAGAATGAACCTCTAACAAATTGCATAAAAGGAGCTTATTATTCCACAAGTAGAGGGATATGCAGCTTTTCTAATCATTTTTCTGCTTGGTTCAAAAAAGAACTGTTGAGACATGATTGGGAGAAGAAACAGGAAAAAAATGAAATCTAAATCTGCGAGCAAGGAACATTCTTTTTGATGGTTATGATTTTGTTGCCACTAAAAAGACTCTCTAATAATGTGGTTATTCATCTCCTTTTTTTGTTTTGGGTGAAGAATTCGCTCTAACAAGAAAATGCTCTTATTGGTTGGAGGGTTACCTCCTGGACCGGACCGGCTACCCAGCAATTTGGTTCAATATTATGATGACGAAAAGAAGACATGGAAAATACTCACAAGTAAGTGCAATTGTTTATTTACTTTCCTATTTATCTAAGGCTACCAGCTCTCTCGATGAATTTGATAATATGGTTAATCAAATCAGACATTTTATTGCTGTGCTAGCTTTTAGAGTTTTGTTTATGTGTCGGGGGCATTTAGAGTAAAAGCCTAAATTAACATGGCATGAGAAAGCTGGTCAGTTTGGTGGTTGAATGGGCTTGATAATACTGGCCTAAAAATAACTCTGCTGGTTTATGTGTCTGAATGTATTGAAATGGATAGGGGAGGAACAAGGTGATTAAAGATGGTCCCCCAAATCATTCACTTTTGTGTTGTTGATAGGAAAATGAAGGGTTGTTTACTAGCACTGTTAAGTTTTCTCACATTAAAATGGTTGTATAGTTCATTGACTCTGTAATGAACATTTATTTTGATATTTAGGTATTTTTCTTCATTAATCTATAGTCTGGAGGGGATGGGGTTCTTGGGGAGCTGACTCCTTACACTACTTCACAGCTTGGATGAACAGATATATTGGTGGTCTGTCCCAGCTGCCTTAAATTGTGCTTGCAAAACTTTCAGCTATTTTCCTCCTCCCCTTCTCCCCTTAAAGGGTGATTGTGTTTTACAGCAAACCTCTTGCCTTGGGCACTCAGATTTGGAACTTAGTGTTTTATCGGTTACGATTCCCAATCTGACTCAGTCATGGAATCAAAAATCATCGTTTCCTAAGTGCAGCAAGCTGTGTGCACCAGTCCCCTCATGGGCACAGTGGCTGCACTGGTCAATAAAACTAAATTTTAACTGTCAAAATGGCCCAGAGCTGTATAGATAAAATAATAAATGAGCAATTTTGATCCATAAATCAAAGCCATACATTGAAAACCAACAAGAGTTGAAAGTTAGATTTTTTTTTTCCCCACTGCATGTGTCTTTTAAGCAGTTTTATATTTTGGCAGATTGTTGTTCTTTTTAAAAAGATTTTTCCCTGAAATATCTTTAAAATAATGGAAACAGGACATGAGTTTGCACATGAGAGCAGAAGAAGAGCAAAGACTTGTGAAGTGGTACTTGAAATGATACATTTAGGAGCTGGCTTAGCCCAGCAAAACCTGAAGTAACAATGTCTAGGCACTGCATCAAGAGGACTCCCTGGATGCCACTATCCATGCCTGCAGTGAAGGAGTAGAGAAATCCACACAGTGAGATTAAGAAGGGGAAGATAGAAAAAAATAAGTTAAAGATACCTTAAAATGGGGCTGGGAAGGTGGCTCAGTGGTAGAGCACTTGCCTTGCATGCCTGAGGCCCTGGGTTCGATTCCTCAGCACCACATAAGCAAAAAGAAAAAAGCCGGAAGTGGCACTGTGGCTCAAGTGGTAGAGCTCTAGTATTGAGCTGAAGAGTTGAGGGACAGTGCCCAGGCCCAGAGTTCAGGCCCCATGACCGGACCAAAAAAAAAAAAGATATCTTAAAATGTTTTATTCTCTGTTTGATGAACATACCATCTATAGTGATTTAAATACCTAAGTGAATAATCAAGTTGTATCTTAAAGATTTTTCAGAAAATAGAGCTAAAATAAAACTAAAGAATCAATTATTTGATAATTGATCAATTTGGAAAACCTACATAAAGTGATCCATGGAAGAAGGGAAAGAGGACAAAAGATCTCCAAGAGAAAAGTAGGAAGAACATAGGAACAGGAAGATTGTAAACACAACTAATAAATGGTAGTCATTGACAAATCTACCTACTTTTCCAAATAGCTAATGTTGCAACCAATTAGCTATTTATTGAAATCCTACAGTAAAGGCCAAAAGACTGATTAAAGCATTATGAACAATGCCTATAGAAAGTCTTGTGTTCAGTTTAAACCTTGCTCAGAGAGAGGTTAACCATCAAACATCATTCAGAAGTGCTAAGCTAATTTGACAAGGAGGTAAAAATGACAGGCAAAGGAAAGAGAGACAGTCTTCCTAGCTTGAGGTCTGCTTATTTATTGAATGACTGTTTTCATGCAAAAGTTGACTAGCAATCTCCTAACACCTGAGATTGGTTATGCTGAACCTTAGAATACTCTACAGACTTATCATGAGCAAATGTCTCTCGATGAGTCTCATAGGTAAACATCTATTTCAAAGATAATATTCCACAGGCAGAAACACATGGATTTCCCTCACAAGGGAGCTACAGTATTTGTACACATTGTATAATGAAGGAAAATGATTTTGGAAACACTTTAGAAGGAGTATACTTAGAGTTTTTGTGAGGTTTCTGAAGGGAGGTGATCTTTGCTCATGTAAAGGATTAAGTATGGTGTTACAACAAATATTTTAAATAAGACTGTATATAGAGAAAAAATAACATTGAATACAATGGGGGAGTAATTGTGTCCATATAATCTTAATTTAAAAAACTCAATGGTTGAGAAGGTAGCTCAGTAACAAAGTGTTTATCTAGTATACACAAGGCTCTGGGTTGGATCGCCAGCACACACATCGTCAACCAACCTGTAGTGTGTTTTATCTAAACAACAAAGGGAACAATTATTGTAACTGAAAAGGCTATCTTGGTAGCACACTGGTCCAGACTTCATAATTTTTTATTAACTTTAAGAGTTCCACAAAGAAGTTGCCATTTAATAAAACAGTTTGTGAATACAATACTGCTTCTTGATCAATATCACCACTGTCAACATTTTCACCCATCCCTCCCTAATCCACCCTTTCCCTCTTCTTAATTTGTGAATTCTTGATTGCATTCACTCCCTCTTTCTCTTCTCCATTGTACCTTCCTTTTTGGAAGAAGCATCTGATATAGCATTATAGAAATGATGTTTAGGAGGGGAACAGAAATAACAAAATGCTGAAACAAGGATACAGGTGGACCCATTGTAACAATGAGATGTACAAGACATTACATTATGTTGAAAAGGAACTTTACAACTTCAGGAGGGGAGTAGGAGCTGGGGAGGGAGGGAAGGAATAGGAGGGGAAAAACAAAGGAGGGGGTAACAATGCTTGATAGGAAATGTACTCATTACCTTACTCATGTAAATGTTACCCCTCTGTACAGTATCTTTACAATAAAAACATAAAAAAAGAAATTATGTTAAGTGTACTAACAGAGTTTCTAAACCTCTGTCAAAATATATTGAGAAATAACATAAAAACAACTGTAAAATCCTTTTGCAAGTGTGAAGCGTTAGGTAATAAGAATAAAATGAAGCATTGCTATTTCCTTGCCTGTTAATAACAAAGGGGAATTTAGGTACATTATTCATTTTTGTTGTATAGTGTTATTTCTCTTGCATTTCTCAATTCTGTATCTGTCTCCTGTTTCATTCTTAACTTACTAGAAAGCAGTACAGGATGGCTATCTAGTCCAAGTGTATTGTTTTTGTCTTTTACCATCCAGTAGATTTATAGGCACTTTCTAGTTGCAACAAATGAAGGAAACCATGCAGCCTATGTTTCTTTGGCTCTGACTTACTTCACTTAATATAATTTTTTTCCAAGTCTTTCCATTTCCTTATGAATGGTACAATATCATTATTTCTGACAGAAGTATACAATCCATTGTGTATGTATACCACATTTTGGGGGGGGGTCTGGTTGTGGGGCCTGAACTCTGGGCCTGGGCGCTGTCCCTCAGCTCTTCAGCTCAAGGCTAGCGCTCTACCGCTTGAGCCACAGCACTGCTTCTGGCTTTTTTCTTTTTGCTTCTGTGGTGCTGAGGAATTGAACCCAGGACCTCATGCATGCAAGGCAAGCGCTCTACCACTGAGCCACCTTCCCAGCCCCGTATACCACATTTTCTTGATCTATTTGTTTGCTAAGGGATATCTGGGTTGATTCCTTCCACATGTTGGCTATGGTAAACAGTGCTGTAATGTACATGGCTGTGCTGGTAGCTTTAGTGTGGCCTTGTTTAGACATTAACACAATGAGACCAAAGGAAGATATTCTTAGGAGAGGATCACAAAGGTTCAGTAGGTATGGACATATGATCATATAAAATGATGTGTATAGAAATGAACTCCAGGAAATGGAAACAAGGAGTTTTATGTTATTTTGCTTCATGTATGTGTGTGTGTGTGTGTGTGTGTGTGTGTGTGTGTTCCTTTGTCACTGTTTTTTATTTCTCTACCCTTTGTCTTATATGTAGGTTTATATGTTTTGGGGAGTGTAAGAGGGAGCACAGAAATGGTAAAAGGATTAACAAATGCAGCAGTGATATTCACTAGACACTATGCTGATAATGAACTATAAACTTCTGGGGGGAAAGCGGGTTGGGAAAAATGCTAGAAAAATGAAGGAAGAGGAGACACTTCAAAAAGAAATATGCTCATTACCTCACTTATATAACTATAACCTCTTTGTACATCATCTCTACAATAAACATAAAAAAGAAAATACATAGTGGAATTCATACAGATCATGGAGCAATAAAATTTTTCATATTTGAAATAAAAAGAAAGCAGTACAGGAGACGTGAATACTAAAACAGCCAATGCAGAAAAAAAGTACCTGAATTCTTAACACACGATTAAAAAATTTTGCTAGCAATTGTGCACTTTTAATAACAGATTCCACATATAGCCAAGTTTTATGAAGTCCATATGTGGAAGTACTTTACTTTCTTTGCCCTGGAACAGCACTGAAGAGATCACTATTGTATTCAGCTTCTTCACTGGTAGGTGAAGGCAGTTCTCAGGAACTAGCAGCTTCCTTTTTCCTGTATTTTAGATAAGAGATCCTATTTATTAAGTGCTTCTCTGTTGATTTCTTTGATTAATGACAGGACAAGGACTTCCCAGCCCTTTCCTGTTACAATGATAACTTCACCTTATTAACAGTAGATGAGAATTCTATCGTTTAGCTAGATAGGCTTATCGTTTCTTTTGACCACTGAAGTTCATTTTCTAGAAGCATTAGAATTGTTTTTCCTTCCTTATCCATACATTGGTAGCAACTCTTTCCTCTACTTTCTAATGTAAGGATGGGGGGCCTTTGATT